CTCTTGCTCAGGCTGGTTTCGAACTCCTGAGCTCAAACAATCCGCCCGCCTCGGCCTCCCAGAGTGCTAGGATCACAGGCGTGAGCCACCGCGCCCGGCCTTTTTTCTGAATATTTTTTATCCATGGTTAGTTGACTCTGCAGATGCAGAATGTGTGGATATAGAGGGCCAACTGTACATGCCTTTCCTCAGTGAAAGAAAACTACTACTACCTTGTATTGTTGACCTTTGGTTCAACAAGAACATTTTTGGTGGAATAGCTATAAAGGAAAATGTAATATTAAAAGCAGTTATCCTTTTTATTATTTTTATTTTTTGCAGTTATCCTTTTTAAATGAAAAAAGAGTGACACATTGTTAAGAAAGGGAACATATATTCTCAAAGACACAGACATGATAGATTTTTTTCATAAATCTTAAAATTTTCTTCTATTCATAAATGCATAAATTGCTCATTATTAAACAACTTTAACATAATTTAAATAATTAGCAATTAATTTTAATAGAGTTAATTTTGTAATTACTTGAAAATATGCTATAATTAATATAAATTTATTTATTAGAACTTTTCAATTTTCTTTTAGTTGATTTTGTTTTAAAAGATCCTAGGGAAAAAGATGATAAAAAGACAGATGAACTTCCACCCCATCGTGCTGAGTAAGTAATCACATTTCTCTAAGGATATTGATTATGTGACCATTTCTATGTTTATATAGTTATGTATCAATTATATTTTCTCATATATATGTTTGTAATTTACATATAAATATATGAATATATCTGTATGTATGTATTTCAAATACAGGCATACTTCATTGCTTTATTACACTTCGCAGATGTTGCATTTTTTAGAAATTGAAGGCAACTCTGAATCAAGCAAGTCTATGAGCACCATTTTTCCAATAACATGTGCTCACTTCGTGTCTGTGTATCACATTTTGGTAATTCTTGCAACATTTCAAACATTTTAATTATTATTATATCTATTATGGTGATCACCATATTATTAATATAGTAGTAACACTTTTGATGTTGCTATTATAATTGTTTTGGGCACCACAAACCGCATCCATATAAGACATTAAACTTAATCGGTAAATGTGTGTGTTCTGACTCCTTCACCAACTGGCTGTTCCCCCATTTCTTTCCCTTTCCTCAGGCATCCCTATTCCCTGAGATACAACAATGTTGCAAGTAGGCAAATTAATAACCCTACAATGGCCTCTAAGTGTTCAAGTGAAAGGAAGAGTTGCATGTCTCTCATTTTAAATCAAAAGCTAGAAATGATTAAGCTTAGTGAGGAAGGCATGTTGAAAGCCCAGACAGGCCAAAAGCTAGGCTTCTTGTGCCAAACAATTAGACAAGTTGTGAATGCAAAGGAAAAGTTCTTGAAAGAAATTAAAAATGCTACTGCAGTGAAGCCACAAATGGTAAGAAAGTAAAACAGCCTTATTACTGATAGGGAGAAAGTTTTAGTGATCAGGATGCAAAATCAGTCCAGCCATAACATTCTCTTAAGCCAAAGCCTAATCCAGAGCAAGGCCCTAATAATCTCTATTCTTTGAAGGCTGACAGAGGTGAAGAAGCTTCAGAAGAAAAGTTTGAAGCTAGCAGAAGTTGATTCATGCAGTTGAAGGAAATAAGCGATTTCCATAACATGAAAGTGCAAGGTGAAGCAGCAAGTGCTGATTTAGAAACCAGAAGTCATCCAGAAGATCTAGCCAAGATCATTGATGAAGGTGGCTACACTAAACAACAGATTTTCAGTGTAGATGAAACGGCTTTATATTGGAAGAAGACGCCATCTAGGACTTTCATACCTAGGAGGAAAAGTCAATGTCAGGCTTCATAGCTAAAAAGGACAGGCTGATTTTCTTGATAAGGGATAATGCAGCTGAGGACTTTAAATTGAAGCCAATGCCCATTTACCATTTCAGAAATCCTAGGGCCTTTAAGAATTTTGCTAAATCTACTGTGTCTGTACCCTATAAATGGAAAAACAAAGCATGGATGACAGCACATCTGTTTATAGCATGGTTTACTGAAAGTTTTAAGCCCATTTTTGAGACCTACTGCTTAGAAAAAAAGATTCCTTTCAAAATACTACTGCTTTACTGGCAATGAACCTGGACACCCAAGAGTTCGGATGGAGATGTACAAGCAGATTGATGTTGTTTTCATGCCTGCTAACACAACATCTATGCAGCAGCCTATGGATCAAAGAGTAATTTTGACTTTCAAGTCTTATTATTTAAGAAATATATTTCATAAGACTGTAGCTCCAATAGATAATGTGATTCCTCTGATGGATCTGGGCAAAGTAAATTGCAAATGTTCTAGAAAGGATTCACCATTCTAGATGCCACTAAGAACATTCATGATCCTGGGAGGAGGTCAAAATATAACATGAACAGGAGTTTGGAAGAAGTTTATTCCAACCCTCATGGATGACTTTGAGAGCTTTAAGACTTTGGAGGGGGGAAGTCACTATAGATTCGGTAGAAATAGCAAGAGAACTAGAGTTACAAGTGGAGCCTGAAGATGTGAATGAATTGTTGCCATCTCATGATAAAACTTGAACAAATGAGGAGTCGCTTCTTATGGCTGAACAAAGAAAGTAGTTTCTTGAGATGGAATCTACTCCTGGTGAAGATGCTAACATTGTTGAAATGACAACAAAGGATTTAGAAGTGCGATCCCCAACCTCCAGGCTGCAGATAGTGACTGGGCCACAGAGTTCCACTGTCCCCCCGCCCCACACTGTCTGTGGGAAAATTGTCTTCCATGAAACTTAGGAATGGGGTGGGTGGGGGCTGCACAGCAGGAGGTGAGTGGCGGTGAGCAAGTAAAGCTTCATCTGAGCTCCACCTCCTCACTCCTCCCTACCCCCGGAAAAATTGTCTTCCATGAAACCAGTCCCTGGTGCCAAAAAGGTTGGGGACTGCTGATTTAGAATATTATATGAAGTTAGTTGATAAAACGGTGGCAGGATTTGAGAGGATTGACTCCAATTTTGAATTTCTACCATGGGTAAAATGCTATCAAAAAGCATTGCATGCTACAGAGAAATCTTTCATGAAAGGAAGAGTCAATTGATGTTGAAAACTTTATTGTTGTCTTATTTTAAGAAATTGCCACAGCCACCCCAACCTTCAGCAATTACTACTCTGATCAATCAGTAGCCATCAACATCAAGGCAAGACCCTCCACCAGCAAAAGATTACAACTTGCTGAAGGCTCAGATGATTGTTAGCATTTTTCTGGCAATAAAATATTTTTAAATTAATGATGTACATTGTTTTTTAAGACATAATGCTATTGTACACTTTATATAATAGACTATAGTATAATATGGACATAACTTTTATGTACATACACTAGGAAACCAAAAATTTGTGTGACTTGCTTTATTGCAATATTCATTTTCTTGTGATGGTTGGAACCAAACCCACAATATCTCTGAGGTATGCCTGTATAAAACTGATTGTTCTTACAATCTTTATTTATGTGTTTAAGCTATAATGCTTACTTTATTTATGTATTTAAGCTATAACACTATGATACACTTACAAATTGGTGGATAGATGGGTAGACACAGACACCTGGACAGATGGACATGTAAATGGTTAAAACATAAGTACCTTGGTGGAAAGAATTTTGATATAGGTCTTTGTTTCTCCACAGCAACTAGCATAGGCTTCAGATATGGGAGGAACATAAAAGCTTAATGGCAATTTGCACAAAAGCACCTTGGGAACATTGCAGAAAATATGCATATATAGAATGTATTTCAATTTATTGCATGGATTAAAATGTAGAATATACAATGGGAAAATCTACTTGCTATGTATTTTTTCTAAAAATAATTAACATCTCTTAAATAGTTTGAAGAATGGAACTTATTTTTATGTGATGAAGTAACCAATACAGCTTTACTTTCTTTCTTTTATATCATTTAAAAGTGCCCCAAATTGTTTCCCATCCAACACACATACACACAAAAAATTATGTAGCCATTTCCATATATCTTATGTAGAGAACAGCTTTTCTCTTGGGGAAAGACAAAAATCATCCTTTGTGTTTGTAAAGGTGGTATGGCCACACCTGAAAAACTAAATTAAGCTTTTTGTGTAATAATAAAATAAGAGTAAGTATTGAAAATTGGTAAGAATAAAAAAATTACAGACATAAAATATAAATGTTTAAATATGCTCTGAAGATGAAGATGGCACATCTTCAATATATAAAAGATGATTATTCAAATCATGGGAATTACAGAATACAGCTGAACCTTGAACAATGTGGGAGTTAGGGGCGCAGGCCCCCCGTGCAGTCGAAAATCCATGTATAACTTTTGACTCCCCAGAAACTTAGCTATTAGCCTACTATTGACCAGAAGCCTTACCAATAACAGTCAACTAACCATATTTTATATTATATACTCTATTTTTACAGTAAAGTAAGCTAGAGAAAGGAAAATGTTATTAATAAAATCATAAGGAGGAGAAAATATATTTACTATTCATTAAGTGGAAATGGATTATCATAAAGGTCTTCATTTTCATCATCTGCACATTGAATAGTCTGAGGAGGAGAAAAAAGAGGATGGGTTGGTCTTGCTTTCTCAGTAGTGGCAGAGGCAGAAGAAAATCCATGTATAAATGGACAGGCACAGTTCATAACTGTGTTATTCAAAGGCCAACTGTAAATGTGTCTTCAAATGAGAACATTAGTGAGTGTAATTTGTAAATGACCTTTACATATTAACAGAGGGTAAAGTTCAAGGGTATTTCTATAGGCAGGCTGGACTATATCCTTAAAATGTTTTAAAAATAAAGAAAAAAATTAAGAATAAAGAGAAAATTTAAATATTGTGTGTTCTGAAATTAATAGAGAATCTTTGAAAATGTATAGGAAAGATAGCTGGCTGCTATTTCTGTTTGATCTGTTTCTGTACATTCTTAGAGACTCACTAGGATAAAGTAAGCCGGGTGTGGCGTCATGTGCCTATAGTCCCAGATACTCAGGAGACTGAGGTAGGAAGCTCGTTTGACCCCAGGAGTGTGAGGCTGCAGTGCACAGTGAGCCACTGCACTCCAAGCATAGTGAGACATATCTAAAAAAAGATTAGTTACCTTATGTGTTAAAGATTCAAATCTAATTTCATAATCATTATTTATTATAATGAAATGATACTAAACCATAAAGAGTATGATCTTTATATATTTTAACACATTATTACATATTTTGTTGTTACCATGCATGCTCATATTTTTATTAAAATTAAATCATTATTACTTAAAAAGTACATTTACTATAGAAATACTTTCTTTTAATTTTTAAAGAAGATAATGAAATATTTTCTCTCTGTTTTCAGGATGGAAATTCTGCCAAAACCTTGGAGGAAATCTTTTTTAGCTGCAAGCACTTATATGAGGGATCACTTGAATGCAATGAACCCCACAATGCTGGCTGTGCTAGATTTGTGGCACAGTAATTTTAAGTGAGTATTTCTGACTTTACTGAGGTTTTTAAAAGAGAGTTGAAAGTTATTTTATCAAACCTTAATTATTCTTTTACCATTTTAACTGCTAAGTAAAACATTAATTATAATTTTAAGGTATGCATTCAAACATGGCTTTAAATAAACAACGTAGAAGTATATAGAGCAAATGGTGAACATTGCTTTTCGTCTCTAACCCAATTCTCCCTCTCTTCCCCACCCAATTACCACACATGCGTTAAGGGTAGTCACAGTTAAGGGCCTGAATTATCATACCTTGTTTTACGTCACACGGAACATGAGCTGCTCCAGTCTTCTAAACGGTTGAGAAACCTAGAAAATATTGCTCAAGTGAAGCATGAGGTCACGTTTCTGGATGCCTCTTGGGGGATGTTGGCCGAGCCTCATAGGGCATTGTCTTGGCAGGGACGGTGCAGCCATGTGTAGGAGGCACATGGCAGAGCTGGACATAAAGGCTGGTGGGTACTGCTGGAGGAAAGCGCTTGGCCCTTGGGCCAAGGAGGGTTAGCCTCGCACGCCGCATAGGAGCTTCAGCTTCATGTCCCTCCCTTGCACGCCCCTGCCCAGGCCCTCGGAGGCATCCTAGCAATATGCTCACGTGAACATATGTTTTCATAAAATTTGCAAAAGTAATACAGATTTATATTATTTTTCTTAAAGAGGGCTTCCCTTTAGGTCTCTCAAAGGCTGGATCTGTCTGTGCCCTTATGATAAATGAGATGCAACCTGGTTTCCAAATCTTAGGTATGAAGGGTGGTCTGGTGAGCCTTTACTCACCCACCCGACTGCGGCCTGGCTTACATGCGACTTGCTCTCCAGGGTTCCTTGGTTTTTCTTGCATGTATTGTTCTGACTATATGAGGGCAAAATAAACGAGCACATTGCCCTGCCTCCCTCAGACCAGCAAAGGCAAAGCTGCTGCCTTTAGAAGTGCGCTAAGCTCAGTGGGCGGTACAGAAGCACAGCTATTGTCTCTGCCCTCAGAAACCCCCTGGATATACACTAGGGGGCGCTTACTCACCAACTTCTCTGAACTCTGTCATCATTGGAGTCCACAGCCCACCCAGCACCTACCCTCATCCTACCCCTGGGACCGCTCCAGGAAGCAAAGCCATCCCAGCTTGCCCTACCTCTGACACCATCTGATTATAGGCTCTCTGTCCTTTGGGCCTCAGTTTTCCCGTATGTAAAATGATTAGTGAGTTTTTGGTGTCTAAGGCCTTTTTCTTTCCTTACTCCATCTCTTTTTTCCCATCTTCCTTTATTGAACAAATTTTAATTTAATTTCTTTGTACCAATGTGTATGAAATTTTACACAAATACCTACACACTTTTAAAATGCAGTCTGTTTTTGCCTTTACTTTGCTTGACTTCCACTCGCCTTTCTTTTCCTTATACTTACTCTTCTTTCCACTAACCCAGCTAAATGCCGCACGATAACAATCTAGTAGGTCTCTTTCCACATTTTTCTTTATGCTCATATAGCCACATACATATGTATGTACATACATATGTACACATATATACTATTTTTTGGTCTTCGTTGTATAAAAATGACCATACTTAACTACTGTATTTTACTTTTCTCAAGAATATTTTACAAAACTTCCTATGACTGAACTAGTATAGCTATAATTTATACTTTTTAGTAGGTGTACAGTTTTTCATGGTGTGGCTGAATCATCATTTTTTTCGGCTGTACCTCCATTAAGGACATTCATTTTGCTTTCAGCTTCTGCTACTATGAATAATGTGTAAGGAAATGACCTTATACGTATGTCCTTATTACTGGCACTTTTGTTTCCCTGGGATAGATTCTCAAAAGTGGGATTACTGGATCAAAGCATATTTGTGTTTTCATTTTAGGAGATGTTGCTAGATTTCTTTCCAGAAATGTTTAATACATCATATTTCTACCAACAGTAAATGAGAACTTCTTTCTCCAAAACTCTAGCTATGTATATTAGAGCATTTGTCTGGTTAATGTAAAATACTATGTCATTGTTAGTTCCATTTGCATTTGCTGGACTACTAGGGAATTTGAGCATCTTTTTATATGTTGGTTGGTTATTTGGATTTTTTTGACAGTGAATTCTCTACTTACATCCTTTGTCCATTTTTGTTTGGCTCTTTGCCTTTTCTTATCAACTTGATAATCTCTTAGTATAATAGAAGTTTTAGTTCTGTGCTTGTTAACTGAAACAAACAAATCAATCAACTGCTCAAACTTGGGTTTATAATTTGTCCATTGGCTGCATTTATAGTCTCCTTTGATATATTGTCAAATATGTCTCTCTTTTCTCACTTCCGAATTCCTAGACTTGGTAAAGAAGGTCTCCCTACTCAGTAGCTTATATGTGAGACCTCTCTGGTTACCTTGTAAAAATTTTATAATGTTTTTATTTTTATATTTTTTAAACATTTTAGTTTTTTGACTACCTGGAGATCATTTTTGCCTCTGAGGTAAGATGAGATTCATTTTGGTTTTCTTCCAGATAGCCAATTGTGCCAGCATTATGTAATATGTGAAACAATCTACCCTTTTTCCGTTAATTGAATTTATCACCTTTGTCATAGATTAAGCTCTTTAATCTACAGAAATCTATAGAATTTATGGTAATCTACAGAATATCTTTCTGGATTCTCTATTTTGTTCCTCTAATCTTTGAATCTCTTGCTGTACAAATACTGTATAATTTGATTAAGGCGATTTCATAGTATGTTCTTTTATTTGGTAAGGGAGATCTCCACTCTTTTTTTATACTCTTCTTGGCTATTTTTGAAAATTCACTTTTCCTTATTAAATTTAAAGCTATTTTATACAATTCAAAAGAAAGGTGGAAAGATGGACAGAAAGAAAAGATTGTATTCTGATTGGAATATACTACCTTTTCATATTAATTTTGGAAAATATATATGTGTAATTAAGTGTGTTTGCTCGTATCTTATGAATGTATTTCAATATTCAATCTTATGTATGTATTTCAATAAGAGTTTGTATTTTTGTTCATATAGAGTCTCTGTTTACAGAATTCCTTCTCATTTCCTTTATGGCAGGATTTCTTTATAAATTTTGAGTGATTCCCTTTTGCAGGAAAGCTTGGGCAGGGAGTTCCATTCAAGAACATTTCCAGGAAGTTCTGCCTTCTCCATATGGGTTAATTATTCTGGTTTATTGCTCCCTTCCCTCTTCATTCCTGGTTGTACACCATGGAAGGCTCTGGAGTTCCAGGGTCAACTTACTTGGCTGAATGAACCAAGGCCTATAGAATATAATCAGATTATATTTTATTTCTAAAGCATACTCAGACCTTGCCTCATAGTTCATGGCCTCTGGTGACTTCAGAGAATGGGCTAGGAACCTTAAAATTGGCTTTGGCTTTCAGACTACATGCAGTGAGGAAGTGCATTCTTCCAACTTTCCATTGTACAGTGTGGGTTTCTTTGTCTTCTTAATTTGGCTTATAATGAACAGAAAGAGGTCATCTCTTTGTCCCATGTTTTTCTTATTTATTTTCTTTTGGATATTGGGGTTCAAATACCTCTTTATGACAAGGCCCATGATCTAATTTTGCATGCAATCACGAAGTCATATATCACTTTCACAAAGGATGTGTGCATACATTAGTGCATTTCGTTTTCAAAACAATACCATAAGTTGTTTTCTTTTATATCCATTCCCAGATGGAACTCCCAGAACACACTGAGGTAGATACTGAGGGATGGAACTCCATGGCATAGTATTATCTATAAATGGTCTGGTAGACAATGTCAGGAGGCAAGAGACAAAAAAATGAAAGAAGAAAGGGGAAGAAAAAAATAACAAAGCTGAGATTTAAAAAAAACAGTGAATAGTGGATGTATTTAAAATGAGGCTCCATGGTTATGGTGGGGTAGGCCTTAGTAGCAGCAACGGAAGCTGACTTCAAGGCATCCATGATAAAGACAGATGGGAAAGAAGCTGTGTAGTCTATGGGTGGAGAGAGACCCCCCACAACGCCTATGTTGTTGCCTTTGAAGGCATAGGCTGTTTTTACTCTCTATGTGAGTATTAAGAGTGGGATGGATGTTCACAAGTGCTTCCCCTCTGAGTAGTAGCCAGTGATGAAACACAGGGCATTGTTACTCTGGATAACAGTGATTTGCCCCATATCTCAGCAGACCTCGAAAATATAGGACATCTTTATGTGTGGCAATGGATTGGGGGATGTTAATGCAAAAAATGATCTGAGTGACTCTAGGATGCATGAGTGTGGAAACCTGACAAGATACTCTCTAGATGGGAATGTGTAAATTCTTGTCGTTTGGTATTTACACTTACAGAACCCACTTAATGGTAGAGATAGCATTTGTAATGCACTCACAACCTACACAGCACACACATATTTTTCCTTAAAAAAAATAATGTATATGTGAAGATCACAACAGAATGTAATAATTATAATGTGATATAAATTATAGTAGTTGAATGTAAAAAGCAGATGTCTAAGAAAGTTAAGCTCATTTTAAAAGATAAAACAGATTTTTAAAATTCATGATTTGACCAAGGTGATCCCAGGAAAATAATGCTAGATCAGAACGCTATGGATTCATTTACTGTATAACACTCAGGAAACAAATTAAATCACTCTTAAACATATTAAAAAGATATTTAAGCTAACTCATAATATGAGAAATGCAAAGAGATTACAATAGAAACAACACTGGGAACCATTTCCCCCTCCAAATTTGGTAAAATTCCAAAAGTTTGATATCACACTTTGTTGGTGAAGTTTGGAGAAATGGGTTCCCTTTTGAGGGGAATCCAGACATACCTGTCAAAATTACAAATTACTCTTGAATCTAGCAATCTTACTTTTGGAAAAGTAGCCTATAGACGCACTTGAAAATGTTGGAAGTGATATAGGTATTAAGTTCTTTATAGTGGCATTTTTTAATAAGAGTAAAAGACTGGAAATAACCAAGCATCCATTGATAGTGCACTGGTTGAATAAGTTACAGTACATTCCCACAATGAAATATTATGCAGCTATAAAATATGAGTAAGAAAAATCTCAAGGTACTAATATGAACAAGTCTCCAGGATGTATTATTAAGTGAAAAAAGCAAGTGCAGATCACTGCCTCTAGTGTCCTAGTTTGAAAGTTACAAAAAAATGAGAACTGGCAAAAGCAAAACATTTCTAAGAAACGGAAAAATTCACCGGACGAGCAGGGAATGTAGACGCTTAGAGTGGAATTTGTGGGGGCAACTTTGTTCTGGTAAGAAGTGAGACGATTGGTTTTGAGAACCAGGGAACAAAGTCAGAAACCGACTTGATGCTGACTCCAGAATATTAGCTCAGGAATATTGAAATTCCTTCTGCCTGAAACCAGTGAAGGAGCGAGAGTCAAGGTGGGTTTCAGCCTGTGATGAGTATCACATGGCAGGTGTGAGGGCAGGACAGGGCAGTGACCAACAGATGAGTCCGCAGAAATTTACTTCTGATTGGATGTGGCAGATAAAGAATAGGAAGAGTTCAGAGAAGATCCTGAGGTTCACAGCCTGGGTGGTTTGGACCTATCTGGTTCTACTAATTGAAAATTGAAATGCAGTGATTTTGGTGATTAGAAGACTCATCATCAAAAAACTTTCAAAGAGACTTAGATAAGTATTTTCCCTTCACTAACCATGTTCAAGCTAATGCATAATGAGTAGTATTCCTTTTCCTGACCCTTTCTATTGTTTTAAACTGATGGTTTAAACTATTGTTCCACTGCTAGATGATTGTAGGGACCATCCTAAGAAAGTGGGAACAGTATCTGGTAGTATTTTTCCCATCTTTTTAACAATTCAGCCTGTTGACCAAATGAGCAATGTTGTTAGCAGAGATTTCATGGAAAAGTTGTACTGTTAAACTTGTCAATCTCAAGACATCAAAGATGGTGGCCTGTGCCTAGAATTTTATCTCAAATCAGACACTAAGGAACTAAGAACAGTTGGTCTTGTGGCTCAATGGCAAAGGGAATTCTAGAGCTCGTGCCCTGGCAACTACTTCTTATTCAGTGCTGTTTCACATCACATGCATCTGTATCCTCATTGACAGCTAGTTTTAAAACACAAAATAATGTTGAAATAATTGACCAAGAAGCATACAAAGAGATCAGATTATGGTTAGTATGTGCTGTTAGGCTATATTTTAGAAATATTTTATTTGAACATTACACTGCTTATTGTCCAGAATAACACATTGTGAAAGGTTCTGTCGCAATGGTTGTACCTACTTTGTGCCTAATGTGTTATTGATGTCATATACTGAATGCATTACAATTTAAGAGATGAATTTTAGCTTGTGAAAGAATATAAAGAAATGGATTTGGCCAGGCATAGTGACTCAGTCCTGTAATCCCAGCACTTTGGAGGCTGAGGTGGGAGTATTGCTGCTTGAGGCCAGGAGTTCAAGACCAGCCGGGGCAACATACTGAGACCCTTTCTCTATAAAAAATACAAAATTACCTGGGCATGGGGGTACATGCCTGTGGTCCTAGCTACTTAGAAGGCTAAGGTAGTAGGATCGCTTGAGCCCAGGAGTTTGAGGTTACAGTGAGCTATGATTGCACCACTGCACTCCAGCCTGGGTGACAGGGCGAGACCCTGTCTCTAAAATAAAACAATAAAATAAAATAAGAAATAGATTTGAAATGTGTTTTGTTTACTAACCAGTATTTTATATTGATCTTTAAGTAAAAATTAAATGTGATTTTTTAATAACACAATGACTAATGCTAATGTTGTTTTTTCATTTTTTAGTTAATCTGCCAGAGAAAATTCTTAGATAAGTAAACCATGTATATAACAGAGACCCATAGCACTGTAGTCAAAAGAGGGATTGTACTGAAAGCTGATGATTTGAGTAGGGCCCTGTATTCTTTAAAAAGATCAGACAGGTTCAAAAGATTTTGATATACTGGATCTTAATTAGGTATAAGACTCCTCCACCCCATTGCTCCCTGATATTTGGGGCTGCTTTCTTTTCAGAGAGGGTGTAACTTTTGTTTTCAGAGCAGTGGATCCTGTAAGCATACAGCCCCCACCTCTTTTCTTGCTCAAACTGTTATAGTTTGAAAGCACAAACCAGTCTAAGATATCCATCAGTCCCAGTTATTGCAACCTTCTACTTCACAGTGAAGTTTCGTATCATATTGTGTTCCAATTGAATTTATCTTTTGTTCTTGAATATTTAGTTTTTTATTTGTGAAAATTTATGGGGTATATGAGAAATTTTGTTACATGTATATAAATAATATATAGTGATTAAGTCAGGGTATTCAGGGTATCCGTCACCTAAGTACAATACATTTTTGTTAATTATAGTCATCCTATTCTGCTATCAAATATTGGGTTCATTTGTTTTATTTTACTGTATGTTTATAACCTTTAACCCACTTCTCTTTATCCTCCTCCCCCCAACTCATCCTTCCTGGTTTCTGTTATCTATTTTTTCACGTTCTATGTAATGTGTTCAAATTTTTTAACTTTTCTCATAGACATTTCTTAAAAGACATACAAACGGCCAACAGGTATGTGAAAAAATACTCAACATCACTGAATATCAGAGAAATGCAAATCAGAACAATAGTGAGATATCATCTTATCCCAGTCTGAATGGCTATTATTAAAAAGACAAAAAATAACAAATGTTCATTAGAATATTTAGTTTTATGGAACACAGGTTTTAATGATAAAACTTAGGAATATGACATGTTTGAGAAGGGACTGATTAGCAAAAATATTAAATACCAAAAAAACCTTGTTCTTAAATTACTGTTCAATTTTATCTCTTGCAGAAAATTACGTTTAATTGATATTGAAGAATTTCACAATCGCCAAGATGCATTAGAGCTGTCAAATTTTCAGACCATTGTCATGAAACACATGGAATCTGCCAAAGAGACTCTACTTAAAGTGTAAAGTTTTAAAGTTTTATGTAGGAAAATATAAGTTTAATAATGTGATGGTGGGGTACTGCATTTTAACTGCTTTTAGAAAATCCCATTTTAATAAGATTTTAATCATTTTTATATGAGAGTTAAATATAATGTCTTGAATTGCCTTGGTCTATAATGTTTACAAAGCATAGATTGTGCAGAAACTAAAATGATCACGACAAATGGTTACTTTTTTCTAAATGTCTTGTTTCTACCTCTGCTTTGAGAGGGGTGTTGGATACCTTGCAGGAATAATCATCAACTAATCATTCACCAGATATGTATTTGACGTCTACTATTAACACATGCGAGGTGCTGTGCCTCCTTTCATTTGTGTTTGGATGGGGGGTGCAGAAGAGTTTAAAGAATGATTAGGTGGGGAAAGTATATTGTTTAAATGAATTTACAGTCTCATTGGAAGTTAGTCTTAACAAATGACAATTAAACATCTCCTTGGATTGGCTTTTCAGAATGGAATAGCCTCATATAATAATTCATGATGTGGGTGCCAGAAGTATACTCTGAAACAATATAGGAAAATTGTCTATACCACAAGTCATTAAGTTATTAAGTTATTATAAATAGGACATTAAAATTGGATCAGATTTAAGATAACAGAGGACATTAAGCTTCTGGCATAAAAGTTACTTAGAAATGTATCTTGATTATTTAAGATTAAATATTTCCTTTATCTTTTTTTCGTCTCCAATATGTTAGAACTAAATTCTTAATCTGATATTACTTGAAAAAACTTTAACCTTTTATTTCATATTAGTATTTTGTTAACATAAAAATAGAGTAGAGGTGAAGAATGAAACCCCGTAATTAATTACAGAGAAGAAAATGACATCTTAAGGACAGAGTACAAGTAAATTATCATGATCTATAACTTCTGGGTTACACCGTAGGAATACATTAGCACTGTAAATTTTTTAGTAAAATGCATGTCAAAGTACAGAATACAAACTTTTATTGAATAATTTTTGCTAAGAAATGTAGATTGATTAGCTGTCTCTCTTCTTGATGCTTCCTGATTCATTCTAAGAAAGGAAGTCTCTGACCATACTTTAGTGAGTCAGAATGTGTTTGTAATGACTAAAAGGCAGAACATCAGCTCACAGTGGAGAAACAGTTAGCAAATGATTAATTATGACATCAAACCCGAACCCAAATGTCTTTTCGTAGTCCTCATCTTCCACTTCTATTCAGCAGTTAGCGTGGTTTATCACTCAGCCTTCTGGAAACCTGTTTTTCTGTGCCCTATGCTTCTCTAGTTCTTCGTTATCTCTTTTTCTGGCTCTATTTATTCTTACTATCCCCTAAGAGTGGGGCTCCTCAAGTCTTTGTTTTCTCTCTTTATATTCTCTTAACAATTTCATGATTTCATCTGTCTCAAGATTTTGTTTTCTGAGCCCTAGGCCCTACTTACCAAATTTTTGAATCGATATATCATAGTTGTAAACATTTATGGGGTACAGGTATTTATGGGATACAATGTGTAGCGATCAAATCAAGATAATTTGGATATCCATCACCTCAAACATTTATCATTTCTTTGGGAACATTCCAAGTATTTTCTTCTAGCTATTTTAAAATATACTATAAATTCTAGTTGGCCTTACTGTACAATCAAACACTAGAACATTAACCAATCTCTCCCCCCCGACTCTTCCCAGCATCTGGTAACCACTATTCTACTCACTACCTCTATGATATCATTTTTTTTAGCTTCCTCATATGAATGACAACATGCAATATTTGTTTTTCTATCCCTGGCTTGTTTCTCTCAATATGTTGTCCTCCAGTTCCGTCCATGTTGTTGCAAATCACAAGATTATATTCATTTTTATGGCTGAATAATATTCCATTATGTATATATATCACATTTTCTTTTTCCATTCACCCAATGATAGCCACTTAGGTTGATTCCATATCTTGGCTATTGTGAAATTACCATCTTCATTATGAAACCCTTCTCCAGTACTAAAATGGAAAATTATATCTCTATCCTTTTTATGTGTATGTGTGTGGGTTTTTTTTTTATTTCAGCATATTACGGGGGTACAAATATTTAGGTTACGTATGTTGCCTTTGCCCCACCAAGTCAGAGCTTCAAGCGTGTCTATCCTCCAGACAGTGCACACCGCACCCATTAGGTGTGAATATACTCATCTCTTCTACCCCCTCCCTATCTCTATCCTTTAACTTCAGTTTTTTTCCTGCTATGACATATTGCTTAATAATTGTGAGAGAAATGATGATGCCACTTTTTAATATCTTGTATGACACTATTCTTAGTATGTAGTAGACAACACGTATTTTGTTGAAGAGTTGACTAAATATATTTAAAACTTAGATTTTCTCTCTTGGAACATTCAAGCAACTCCTGAAATTATATAGACTCTTTAAAAAATCCATTATCTCTTATAAAAGAAGATATCAATATTGTTTATTTCTGTAGCGTTGGATAGTAGTTTTGTAAGCTGAAAACCTCACTTATCATGATGTACCTCTATATAAAATTTCATTATTATTCTTTTGTTACAAGGCTACGTACATATTTGAAACTTTGTTTTAGACCAGACACTCTTTCAGGATATCACATTAAGGGAAATGGGAAAATAAAATACAAGATTTTATTGATTTATATTGTGTTTTCAAGTCATTGTGAAACAGAATAGTGTGAAATACCAAATGGATTGTACATGGTACAAGCTCTCCCTTGGTTTAATCAGTTATTCATGTTTTAGCACAAATGAATACATTCCCTAGAGAACATTTAGGAGAGTGGAGAGGAGTATCTCATAATATCCAATAAAGTTAGTTCTCGTATTTCTTCAAAAAGTGCAGGAATCATAGTTCCAGGAGTTAGATTTACATCTTTCTCACAGCATCACCTTGCTGAGTCATTTTCTATTGGCTAAGATTAAAAATATCTTTTCCCAGAAGTGAAATATTCTAGCACTTACATTTCAGAGAGTAGATAATGTCATTTCGCAATATACCTCTCTGTGAAGACCTTTGGATGTCCAAAAATTACTGTTAATGCTTAATGTAAATGGAGTAATTCACTGAAAGTATTGACTTTTAAAAGTCTTTTGTTCTTTCAAGGTGGTTTCCAGAAGTGCAGAATATTTATTACCAAGGTAATAAAAAGAAGCAATTGCCAACTGGTGACAGCAGTGCCAAATTGGAATCTTTTTTCAACTGTGCTGCTGCACTTATGACTTTACAGCTGCAGAACCTTGCTTTAGTCTCCATGCAGGATTTCACAGACTTAATTGCACAACCCCCAGTAAGTACAGTTCAGTTACACCAATGTGCATTTATTAATTAGTTTATTTATTTTCAATTCTTTCAGAGAGGGAAATAAAATATCTTTACTAATGAGAGAGCAGAAAGTATATCTTTAGACCTATTACACTTATCTGTTAAAAAAGTTAGGGTCAACCTGCACATTTAGAATATATGATCATCACATTAGGTGAGTATTAGTGAAAACAAGTGAAAATTCACATAATTGGAAAGTTTGGGTCATGATGGCTGGGGAAAGTTACTGCGAGTAGGCTTTTCTGTCTCTGGAAGGAGGTCTTATTATAGTGTGCGCAGGGCCTTGGAATCTCTCCGTGGGCTCTTTCTTGCACGATTCCAGAACCCCACTGCTATGCACACCCTTGTTTTTCTTGGACCTTGACCCTGTAGTTGACCTGTAGGCCCAATGGATACTTGATACCAGCAAGTCTACCTTGGAATCACTCTTGCTCTTTTTAGTAGAGCTCCTCCGTGGCTTAGTTGTCTAGGACATTAGATGATGCATGGGTTCTCATGTATTCTGTTATAATTGGGACTGGTGCACTCCTTAGTCTATCACAATTCATATCTATATCTAGATCTATATATGAAATTACGCATGTCAAATTTTTTATTTTTTTGCAGGATTCTATTAGAGCTTTTGAACATCCAGGTTTCATCATGAGGCTGATTCTTGATAATGACACCATTAAGTTTGAACCTGACTTTAATGACTACATAGATATCCTCCTAAATGTTTATGATGTCATGATTAAAGCTGTCAGTTTTGTGCCAAGAGTTGAGACAAAACTGTATTCCAAGTGGGTAAGTAAGGATAATCTGATTGCTTGAATTTGCATAATGATATTCACTTCAGGTAACTTCTGAAGGGTGTAGACAGGTATCCTCTGCTTCACAGGATATAAATAACCTAGTAACATTGGCTTACAAGAAAGTTTTGCTAAAAAAAATTTCCTTTTCCTATTACCTTCTCTTAAAATATAGGTATCTATTTTCCTAGTCTAGTCTTCAATTTGCATTAGCTGAAAACTTTCTGAGGGGAAGGAGTTGAAGTTGTGATCAGATTTGAAGCAGTCCATGAATGTTTGCTGTAGCTTTCATGACATTTTCTGTAGCATTCATACCATGCTGTAGACCTCCATTATACTCTTCCAGCTCTGTAAAACTGTCCTCCAATTCATTACTCTCCTCATACACCTTTTTCCATAAATAGTGAGCTCCTGTCTTTGTACTTTCAACTCATAGATCCTATCTATGACATTTCAATAGTAGTTATTGCAGTCTGGTATATGAAATGAGCATGTCTGAGAATTCCCTAACTTAATAAGTCAAGTATGTAAGTCAAATCAGTAGCTTTCTTATTCTTTTTCTATTTTTCAAATAGTTTACAAACATTTCATATATATACAAAAGAGTACAGGAGACTAGTGTATAAATGTTTAAATAGTAATGAAGTTAACACCTGTGTTAACTGTAGCTACAGCTATAGCCCGTACTTTTTTATGTATAATTTGTGGGATACAAACATAATTTTATTACATGCACAGATTACATAGTGGTCAAGTCAGGGCTTTAGGGTATCCATCACCCAGATAATGTACATTGCACTCGTTAAGTAGTTTCTCATCATCCACTCCCCTCACATCCCATCACCCTTCCAAGTCTCAATTGTCTATAAATCCACTTTCTACATCCATGTGTACACATTGTTAGTACCCACTTATGAGTGAGAACATGCAATATTTGTCTTTCTGTGTCTGCCTTGTTTCACTGAAGATAATGGTCTCCAGTTTTATCCATGCTGAAAAAGACATGATTTTATTCTTTTTATGGCTGAATAGTATTCCACTGTGTATATAGACCACATATTCTGTGTCCATGCATCTGTTGATGGACACTTAGGTTGATTCCGTATTTGTGCTATTGTGAATAGTGCTGTGATAAACATACAAGTGTAGCCCATCTCAAAGAATAGCATATTACTGATACCTTTAAGCTCTCCCCCATTGCTCCTTCCTGTTCACATGCCTGTCCTTCCATCCTATAGCAAAAGAATCATTATCCTGTATTTTGGAGTATTAACCATAATTTTTTAAACTAGAGTTACTACATGTCTGAATATTCCTAAACAATTTCTGTTTGGTTTTTCCATGTCTTTGTATAAGTTGAGTCATCTTGTAAGTAATCTGTAATTTGTTTCTTTCACTTAACATTATAATTGTGAAATTATCCATTTATAGGACATTATCTTTTTCACTGAGCTTCTAATTTTTTACTATTTTATTTCTATTGTCCAGAAATTCCATAAAGTTATTTTTCCAATAGGCCTGGTCATTTTTGATAGTCTTTTATTCATATTATTTGATAGTCATGTATTCATTAAGCTTGTACTTCTCTTTACACACATAAAATATTTTTAATATTCTATATCCAACACTTCCAATATCTGTGGTCTTTGCTGATCTGATTCTGCTGTTGACTCTTGGTCCTGGTAGTTTATTTCTCTGGGTACTTTTCCTCTATTATTATGCTTATGCCTGTAAGAACTTTATGCAGGAAAGTCTTTGAGACTTTAGTTTAAGTTGGATCCTTTGTAATTTGCATATTCTCTTGAGAGGTACTCCTGAGAACAAGGACCATTTTAAGCTAAATTCTTGCTTAATGATTTCATGGACAACATTGGCAGTGTTGAGAATACTGTATGAGAATAAGCTCGTGCTTACAAATTCTTAAGGCAACCATCTTTTTCTCCCCATTGAGAACAAGGCAAAACAGGATATTTCATTCCCTTACTTTCCTATTCAAACGTCCCCCTATTCAAAGGTTCTGTCACCTTTCAACATTCTAAAGTTTCGTTTCTTCAGAACCCTCACTTTGAGGTTGTGTCACCTTTCAGTATTCTTGAATTTATGTGGGATGTCAATTATGACTTCCTGTATTGCTCAGGTTTGAGGCTTTGTTCCCTGACAGCCACCATGCCCTCCAACCCCAAACAACCGCCTTACTGGAGACTCATTAAAGCAAAGCTTAGACCACCAGGGATCAGCAGAGTCCCCGGGGCAGCTGTTCACTTCTGTGTATAGTGACCTCTCTCAGTTCATGAATTCTCTCATTTTGGCCCCTCACACTTTCTCTTGTTTTTGCTTCCTTAGCTACACATTATAAAGGATAAATTTAGCATTTTTTCCGGCATGTTCATGTGTTTTGAAGTAGGTAGTTATTTTCTAAATGTCTGTTCCTCATATTGCCATGAAGAGAAGTCTCTCAAGAAACTTACTGTTTACTTTGTCCCTTGTGTAATTCCAATTTATCTTTTGCATTCTTTTCTATTTATAGCCTGCCTTTTTTCAAGAATGATTTGAGGTCACTTATGAAACAGACAAATATAACAAGTTAATAAGATATGAATTAATAGATAAAGTTCTAAGTAAAGTAACTATTATAATCATCCAAATGAATATAGTTGCTGTGACTTTATGGTTATAAAATATGTCCCCAAGCTTCCTGGTTTCTAAAGTAAAAAGAAAAATATGGGAAATTTTAATTGTAACTAAAACAGTTAATTTAGAGCTCTCAAGGGGAGAGTGATATTTTTTCTGGTGTTAAGTTTAGTCTAAAGATGTCTCCTTGCATGTTTTAAGTTTGGCCTAAACGTTTCTTTGTACATAGTAAACTATAACCTAACTAAATGTGATCTAACCTACTCTTATAACAAATAACTGAGTCTTAGCCAATCAAAGCCCCCCTCTTCAGCCACTCACAGGAGGCTAACTGTTCAAACCATGTTCAAATAAGGCAAATACCGAGGTATAACCAATCCAGCTATTTCTGTACCTCAATTCTGTTTTCTGCAATCATTTTCCTTTTTCTGTCTATAAATCCTCTCTGACCACACGACAGTACTAAAGTTACTCTACACCTGTTCTTGTTTGTGGGCTACCCTATTCTTGTAAAGCCTATCTCTCAAAATTTAATACCAGTGTTAAAAGAAAAGCTTAAGACAAATTAAATTTAACAGAGTTTAATTGACCAAAGAATGATTCAAGTAAAAAAGAATAAATCCTGTCATTTACAGAAATCTGATGGAGCTGGAGGTAATTACATGAAATGAAATAAGCCAGACACAGAAAGACAAATATTGCATGATCTCATTCATATGCCGAATCTGAAAAAGTTGATCTCGTAGAAGGAGAGAGTATAATAGTGGTTACCAGAGGTTAGGAGGAAGGGAAGATGGGGACAGGTTGGTCAGTGGGTACACAGTTACAGTTAGATGGGAGGAATAAGTTCAGGTGTTCTATTGCACAGTAGGGTGTCTATAGTTAATGATAACGTATTATATATTTCAAAATAGCCAGGAAGAGAGGATTTTGAATGTTTTTACCACAAAGAAATGATAAATGTTTGAGGTAATAGATTTACTGGTTACCCTGATTTGATCATTCCACAATGTAAACATGTATCAAAACATCACATTGTACCCCATAAATATCAATAATTATGTATCAATTAAAAATAAAATAAAACTTAAAAATATATATTTTACTGTTTTTATATCCTGTATCTTATTTTGTATATATTTTCAAGTGACTGTTCTTTCATCCATATAGAAAAACAAAACACAACTAGGTAGCCTTAAAGAAAACAAAAAATTGTATGAAATCTAAGTTTTAAAATACTGCTATAATTACACTGAATATCTTTCTGTAGATTATAGATTATAAAATTAAAATGACCTTGTGAACAAAAAAAGAAAATATTGTAAGACTGGCATTTGTACAAAGATAAATGATATGGTTACTTTAACTAAGGTATTTTAAGTAACTAATATTATTTTTCTCTCTTTGTTTAGGAGAGTAAGTCTAAACCAACAACCTTGAAACCCATAATTCTGAATGAAATTGTAGATGCTCACAAAGAAAAGATTAAGGACGTGATTATCAGAGAGAGTATGGCACCTATTGAGCACCGCAGGCTCTATGACAAGTATGATTTTTTAGTTACCAGAAAAGCTGAGCAAGATGCAGATGACTTCCTTGCAGAAAATCAGAGTTATGAGAAAATAATAAATGAAATTCGCAAATACCAGAAACTAATAGAGGAAATACAGTACACATCTAGAAAGGTAAATGACTCCAGTTTTGTACAACTGTTATCTGTACCTAATGATCTTTTCCCAGTTTTATTAGCATATATTTTTAGAACCTATGGTGAGGAAATACGCTGTTACTATCAACAAGAAAAATATTTATTAAGCCTATGACATGTCCCAAGCATTGTGGTAAGGCTTGGGTATGAGGAGCTAGATACGACAGACACTATTCTTGTGCTCATGTAGCTGAAACTCTAGAACCACAACTCCGATTTTTAAGTACTTTATGAAATTTGTCCCCCCCAAATTCCAAGAACCTAATTTCTTTTAACTTAGTCTTTATAAATCCTTTGGAAAATATGATAATTACACCCAAATGTAGTTACCTCTGTTTAGTAGGCTACTAGTAATTTAAAATTTTCTTCTTTTGTTCTTTTTTACATTTTCCAAATTTCTACCATGAACATGTATTTTTTTTTGTACAGAGCAAATATAAGATTTGAAACCTACATTATTGATTTAGCAATATCGTTATTTAATTCTCCAAGGTTTTTATATCCATTATTGTTCTGAAATAGAATTGGTTCCAAGATAACAAACTCTTCAAGGATATTTACCCAGAAGATAGTTGTAAAATACAAATGAGTATTCAGAGAACCCTCCCTGCATTATATTTTCTTAAAAAAAAAAAAAAAACTCGATCTTGTTAGATTACACACACAAAAAAAATTAAAATTATGGTAAGGAAAAATCGTGGGAATCTTTTATTCATTTTTATTTATTTTTATGTTTATTAAAATTTTAATCCATTGCAGACTATTCGTTTAGGAATGTTCGAAATGCACTGTGATGAATTAATCAGAGCTTTGGTGAAACGAGCAGATATTATTTGTGGGAAACTTACAGCCAAAATGTTCAGAGATCATCAGGAAGTAAATACAAGGTATTTATGTGATTATATTTCTGTTTTTTGGAAGGAGATGTTAAATAGAATCAACTGTTACTTATCTGAAGTAACGGATTAAGTATCATAAATTATCCAAAAGATTATGTAAAACTTATTTCTAATAATACTTGGCTTTAAGTGTCATTTTGTGATATGGTTATTAGTATTATTATTTTTTTCACCATAAATGTGCCTCCCCAATTGTGTGAGGTAAGGTGGTATTAAAATGTGTTTGCATTTCTCTTGCACGAGTAGACGTTGCCTAACTTTAGAAGTTTAAATTTGTGTAATCAATACAAAAGTGAGTTTTCAAAGTGGATTTACACAGTAGTTGTCATGCGTCCTAAGGGACCCTCAACTCTGAAACTTGATCTCACTATAATTACTGTTGAAGGCCATGGTAACTTGTTATTTTATATGGAAACTCATTTGTTGAGTAACCTGGAGATTTTTAGGGAAACCAACCCATGTTAAGTAAATTCATAGAATACTAATGTGTAAAGCAGAATACCTGTTTATTTAAAATGAGAAGTATAACTAGTGTAACTAGTCTTCCAACAATTGATGCTGGTTGCTCTAGGAACCTCTTTACTGGTATCAGTTACGTGGGGGGCAGGGAACTCAAATAATCAGAATACATTTTACAATTATGGTAGCAGAGAAAAAATAGGTCAGTAAGAATATTTTTTTCCAAGCTTTATTTACCTACCATGTGTTAAGCACAAGACTAGGCACTTAGGCTCTAAACATGAATAAAACTGCTGAAGGAAGTTACAACATAGAAGGGGAAGTAGACATACAAACCAGTAAATTACAATAGGGTGTAGTAAGTACTGAGCCAACAGAGGTCAGACAGAGAAGGGCATGATTAATTTTCTCCCAGGGTGAAGTTTGGAGGAGAGGAAAAAATCAGGGAAGGCTGCAAAGAGGAAGTGATGTGTGAATTTCATTTTGAAGGATGAGGAGGAGTCTGCCAGGTGAACAGGATGGGTGAAAGAATTTGAGGTAGAGAAGATACTGTGTAGAAAGCAGTGAGGTGTGAAAATGGCATGGTGTATTTCAAGAACTAGGAGTGGTTTGTGTTGCTTTCAGAGACACTGAGAGGGAAGAGAGGTGAGGGGAAGGCTGGGGACCCAGGCTCATGTGGAAGGGGATCAGGCTTGGGTACCTTATCTAGGAATCAGAGTCATATTTTTAGCTTAAAGCATCTTTTCCTCAAAAAGTACTGGAAGAATAGTGAAAACGTCACTTACAGCTTTTCATGCTGGGTGAAATATTTTTTAAATTTCATAGATACTTTTCCTGCCCCTTAATGCCCTCTGAGCTGAGGCCAGTTCTACTTTTTCCCATTTTCTTCTTATTATGCCACCTCCTCTCACCAGACTCCCTGGATGTACAGAAGACATATCAGGACAATTACAGGAGCCATTAGATATGAATGACCTTAACTTCTTGCCCCTGCATGGCTCAACTCACCTCTCTAAGACACCTTTCATATCCCTAGAGGGCAGGAGTCTGTCACTCCACTCGAAGTTTCCCTGTGCCTGGGAGCGCAGCCCTATTGCCTCCGTTGCTTCTGGACCTGGCTCCATCAGTTGTCCCCTCTGTGTCCCTCAGTTTAAATCTCTCCTTCTCTGTTGATTCTGCCTCTGAAGTTTACAAACATATTCAAAACCATCTTTCACCTTCCAACTCCCTGCTTCAACCCAGCGTCATCGCCATGCTATTCCTCTCTCCTTCACCTTACAGCCCACCTTGTTGAAGACTTTTTCTACATGTTTTAATCTGGACTTCCTTCGTTCCTGCTACTCTTCTTTTTCCTGCCCCAGAGTAAGTTATTTGTTTATATTGGCCACAACCCAAATCAGTAGGAAATATTTGCATATTACCAGATGTTTCTGAGCATGCACACCCCTTTCAACCATTCCCACCAAGTAGAATTAATCACTCTGTGCCATCTTAACCAAATCTCAGTTAGAGCCCTTAAAATTCTAGGTTAGAAATGATTGCTTACAGTCCTGCCTCCCATACTGGATAGTGAACTGGTCAAGGGCCATGATTACTTCTGATTCATTTCTGTAGCTCTGTCATTTAATATTATAGTTGGAAATATAACAGATGATCATTAAATGTGTATTGAATAGGTAAGTAAATGTACACAAATTTGCTTTTAATTCCTTAGATGTCATGTAGATAATTTATAATCTTACTTTATTTTTCATGCAATGGAACATTTAAAAATGTACAGGAATATATTATAGAATGAAATTTAATTGCAAATATGTAAGATTGGTTTTGCCTCGTGTTTCAGATTATGTGAAGAATTTGAGAAGATAGCTGAAAAAGCTCTTAGCACTCCTCCAAATACAACAGAACTAATGGAAATGAAGGTATTGTTTATGGACTCTTTATAGTTGTGTGTGTATCCTTTAATTATGGATACAATAATACAGAGTAACAAATCACTTCAAAAGTTAAGATAGAGGTTAAACATAATGACTTTTAAAATACTTAGTTCATGAGTCTGCAGTTTGGGAATTTAGGCTGGATGCTCCTGACGGTTCTTCTGGTCTCAACGAGATCACTCTGTTGGGTCACTCATTCAGTTGGGTCAGCTGGGTGACTAGTTTAAAAATCCTTTAGCAATTTGACTCTGCTCCACTTGTACCTCAAACTCCAGCAGGCTTACCCGGGTATGTTCTATGGCATGGTATAGACACACAAGCAAGCCCTCTTGTACAAGTGCTTTTTGAGTCTCTGCTGTGTCATACTAGCTAACGTCTCATCTGAAGCAAGTCAGAGTGAGAGGACACCAGCCAGCATGGATTCTGGAGAGGTGAAATATTGGAACAATTAAGGCAATTACCTAAGTCTCACTTTCATCGTTTTTCGTGTTACTTATGAGTTTGAAGTCTACTTAATGGCAAATAAAATAATTCAAAATATCTCGTTAGTCACCATCTCATTTTATTCCCTTTTCATTCATTAAGCTTTTACAGAATTCTTTTTTTTTTCATTTTCTAGTATTCCCCAGTGCAATATAGGACCCTTTTATTTTTTTCATTTTAAAATATTTGTGAGCCCAGCAAAACATATAAAATCATTCAAAACTTTGTATAGGCAGGAAATTATAAAAGGAATTGAAATAATTATGTACATTCTTTAAATTATTCACTTAGATGAAAGTTAATTAAAATCATTAGAATCAATATTTACATACTAGCCTCTAATTAAAAGAGTTCTGTTATCTTTAAAGTATTTGTATTTGGAATAGAGCTGCAGTATGTGAATGTATATGTATGTGTATGTATGTGTATAAAATATATACACATGCCCATATATAATTTTTTTAGGGTATTTTTCTATTTTGTGTTAGTTGTAGAACATCAAATGATTCTTTGGTAATAGATGATTATAAATGTAGTTGGAGAGTTCTTAAACTATGAATTCCTCTTCATTAAAGGACAATCCTTTTGGAAAAATGAATATTGGTTATGGAGAGTATCATTTATTTACTCTCCTTACTATCACTGGAAATATTTAGGAATTTGGGGTTATTTACTGTGAATTTCTACTATATATAACAATCTTTAACAAAGTTAGGAAATAGAATTCATTGCCTGATATTTCAAATATTTCTATATCTTAAAAAGATTATCCCCCTAAGCGTAAAACAGCTGGTGAATTTATTCAATGATTTATTATCAGGTAGTAGGGGAAATGAAAATACAGTTGTTTGATTACATAGAAAGCTGATTAAATTACAAAAAATTAATTTTCAGTTAGACATTTTGTTACTTGTGGAAACCACCATGGTTTACATCCTATTTGTTTGGACTTACAACATAAAAACATTTAGTCTAATTAAAATAATATCATATCAATAAAATATTTCTAGGGAATTTTGCTTGTTTTTTTCTGTTTAGTTATAAAACTAAAATTTAAACAATATGGAATTGAATAAAGAGTAAATTTCTACCTTTTCCATAATTCCTTTCTTTAGTGTAATGATTTTTTATAGTTTGGTGTGAATTCTTCTCTTTCCAAACTTGTTTTTTCTACATGTATGCAAAATTGTAAAACACTAGAGAAAAAGAGATAAAGAGAGAGACAGAGCGAGGTGGAGATTGGGAGATTAAAAAGAGCTTTAAAATTTTTTAAAAATTAGAATCATTTACTTCAGTGTCAGGGAGTTGGGGTATAGGAATGGGAAGGTGAACATAGGTGGTTACAAGTTATTGCCTGTTTTCTCATTTTTTTATATTATTAAAATATGTAAATAAATTAGTATGTATATTAAAAAGAGCCTTGAGAGAACTATATGGATATATGTACATACACATGTGCGTATATACCTGCATGTGTACACACATACACACACCTACATATGTGCTCACTCACACACATAGATTTGTCTATGCAGAACAGAATTACTCTGCTGTAAATTACTTCATTCACTGAACAATATACCTTCCCTGTGTTTCTCCTACTAGATAACTAGGGCTCTTTTTTCCTGAAATCAATAGCCAATTACTCCAATATGATTTATTAAATGATTTATCATTTCACTCCTGATTCAAACTCTTCTTTTTTCAACACTAAATTTCCATATTTCCTTGGATCTATTTCTGAACTCTTTCTGTTCTACTCCATCCTCTATTCCTGGGCCAGAATGAGAATTGTTTAAATTATGGCATCTGTATAGTATGCACTGGTATTTATCAGGGTTGGTCTCTATCATTTTTCTTTTTCATGATCATCTTTGTTACTCTTGGATGTTTACTATTGCAGAGAATTTTAGAATTACATCAAATTTAGTTTTTAAAAATGCCATTGAAATTGCATTGATTTTTATGGAGAGTTTGTATCTTTCCAATATTATATCTTGACATATGTTTCTATATTCATTCAGAATTTTTAAAATGTCCTTCAATAAAGTATTAATATTATAGTTTTCTTCGTATAGATTTAGCACATTTCTTATTAAATTTGCTCATAGTTATTTTTTAGTTGCTGTAACTATTAGAATGTGATGTTTCGTAGTGTAGTTTCTAAATCTGGTTACTGCTGATGTATAGGAAAACTATTAATTTTGTACATTTATTTTGTATCTGTCCATTCTGGACTCTTCTTACCCTCTGAAATCTTTACTACTTCATCAGTTGTTTTTTTTTTTTTTTTCTGTGCAAGCGTGATAGGTTTGTGTCAAACTTTGAACATGTATACATCGTTTTTTCTTTTAATTGTCATGTTGACTGGGTTCAACAAGGCCCTATGGGCTCTGGCCTCAATTTAGAACCTTGGGTCTGCTGACCTACTACTCTGCTGCAGCCTTGCTGGCCTCTCAGCCCCTTATCCTTGCTCCCTCTTGCCCCTGTCCATGTTGCCTCTACTTGCAGCCCTCTGCACCTGTCTCATTTCCTCATTTCCTCCTCATTATGTTCCGCTTTGAGTTTGTGGGAAACTGCCCTCCATCTCTAACTACTTTTGTGGTATGCTAAGCAGTGTTCCTTTCCTTTGCAGCACTTGTGTCTGTGGACAGTTTGAAGTTTTACATTTGTTCTGGTGGTTATTTGACTAATAACTGCCTCGCCAACTAGACTACAAACCCCATGAGGGCAAAGCCCATGTCTGTTTTCTGTCACACTGAATTGCCAGCACCTGGCACAGTGTCAAGCACATATTCGGTGCCCAAAAAGATTATTCTGAAAGAATAAATGGTATCACTCAGATGGTATCAGCTTTCTATCTTTCAGGAACCCACAGCATTCCTTTATGGTTTTCTCTTGCTTTTTTATGTGTTGTTAAGTATTTTCTTTTGTATTTTCCTGCCATTTTAGAGACATGTTTGGGAGGGATGAGAAGTTAATTGTACTGCAGTTCCTTATCTCGAACCCCAAATCTTGACTTCTAATTATGCAATGTATTTCTACAGGCTGTCTTGTGTCATGAGATGTTCATTAAAACACTACCTGTAATTTTTGTTGTCCCTCAGGCTTACATTCAGAAAGTGGAGGTAACTGATATGATTGAACTGGAACAGAGATTAGTGGATTCCAAAAACTGCCTCGCCTTCCTCATCGAGTGTGCCAACTTTTCTCCAGCAGACATTAGGCTAAATAATAATGTTTTTCAGTGGTATGGAAGAATGGAAGAAATTTTTGAAGAACACAGGAAAATCATTAAAGAGAAAACAGAACAATACCAAGAAGGTCTGAAGGTTGGTATCATGGGATATTTTAAATTATTTTCAATTTCTGGAAATGTTTACCTTTTAACTTTTTACATGGCAATGTCAACTCCTTTATTTCACAGACCATGTTTTTAGTTTTCTCATACTATAAATCTTAGTAGAAGATAATACACATACTAGATCTTTTATAATGCTTATTGGATGACTAAGAAGTGAGTAGTATATTGATCATTGTGAGGTCATTTCATGATTTTTCAAAACAATTGGAAAAAAACATTGGAATATATTGCCCACAAGTGACCATTAATAAAAATATTTACCTGATACAGTTTATGGTATTAATACAGTTTTCAGCTTATTGTTTGAATATGTCAAAGCTCCCTTGGTGAAATGTACCTTCATACTCCATAATCACCCAAACTCTCCTAAACACTGTGCACAGAATCATGACTTTAACGTTCACTAACTGGTCTCACATATAAGATGGTTTGTGATTTGCCCATCTACCTGTCCAGCCCCATCACCTACCTCTCCCCACTCCTTGCTCCTGATAGCTCCCAGGTGTCTGCTCTCCTGCACCTCTCCTCTCCTGTACATTATCCTGATTACCCTGGAGCTCACCCCTGCCCACAGAGCTTGTCTATCTAGCATATTCTATTCGCTTTCTTAGAAGCCCTCTCAGTAGACCTCAGTGCTGCTTCTTCTCTGCATTTTAACACATCTCTACTGGACTGATTATCTGATCATTATGTTAGTATTTTCAGGTCTGTCTCCCCATTGGACTATCAGCTCCTTGAGAGCAGGGCGTTTCATGTTTACCTTTTCTCCATTTATATCCCACCACACAGCACAGTGACCGACACACAGGAAGGGTACAAGCACTCCATAGCTACTGTCTGAATAAGTGACTTCATATTTTCAGTCTCATTTTACAGATGGAAAATTAAGGTTCCCAAAGATTAAGAAACTTGTTCATGGTCAGCCAGTAGAGATGTCCTTTGATAGCAAGCCTCACTCTGTTTCTACTATCTTATAGCAATTAGAGCTAATTGGCAGAATATATTGTTGGGAGAATAAATGATAAACTTGAAAAAAAACTCTTCATTTTACAATGTAGTTTATAGTTTCTGTTTCACATTCAGGGCATTTCAAAATTTTTAAAAATGGGTGCAGAAAACATCATGAATAGTAAATGATAGATGCTTAAGTTACAATGTAATAGACTCCTAGAAAATTGCTAGGTTGCTGAAAATTGTTGATACTTTGTTATAAAGTATACTATTCCACAGACTACACATAATATTGATGAATTTTTCCTCTTATTTTCCTTCCCCTACTAGGCCAGAGCAATAAATTTGCCAGGACACTAGAGGAAAGAGGATGGAAATCAACCTAGATAATCTATAAAATAGAAAATCTATTTTTGAATAACCTAGATTTGACTTTTGAATATTTTATTAAGAGCTATTTTTAGAGCCATTTAACTTAGGATGCCTTACCAATAACAATTTTGTAATAAGCCTTTCTCACTAAAACACACTCACACACACACACACACACACACACACACACACACACACACACACCTGTTTTATATTGGAACACTATAGTTTTTAGCTTTTAAATCTGGCCTTATTTACCTTACTCATTTCTTGTGAAGAGAGCCCATGGGCCAAGAAAAGTAACCTTGGAATATCTTGTTTTAGTGTTGCTAATTGAAATAATAACTGAGTATAAGAGCACAATTAAGAAAATTCAGGTTTTTTCCAGTTGTTTGCAAAAATGTTGCAGATATCTCTATAGTCCTTAGAATAATTGAGTTTTCTTTTAATGCCATATTTGGTTATTATGAGACTTTTCAAATGCTTATGAATCATTTGTTAGCATAAATTCTTACTAAAAGAAGCATAAATCATACTAAAAATACCATTGTTTAGCATGTTTTTATGCATTTTATTAGTTAGAACTTCTTATATAGACAGTCTGAGTAAACTTTTTCTAATCTATGAATTAGAGGAATCTCAATCCATTAATTTTAAATTTTAAAAATTCTGCATATTTTAGATCTCAGTCATCCTCCAGATCATCTCTTTATGTTTTACCAATGACAAAATATAATAATAATATTTCTGATAACTCTTAGAAATATTTCAATTTTTTCTTGATGTCAAGGGTTTTGATTTTGAAAATAGTAACAACAAATATTGTTTTTATTAGTTACGGTGTGAACGGTTTGTGGAGGAATTAGAGAGTTATGCTAAACAGGCAGAAGAATTTTATTCATTTGGAGATCTTCAAGATGTACAGCGATACCTGAAAAAGGCTCAAACGCTGAATGGAAAGTTGGATTTAGCAGCAGACAAGGTATAATTAAAAAATTCTTAAAAAGATGAATTAATTCAAATAAAAAAGCATTGAATTTGTATTGGGTATTCACCTTTAAGAAATAGATTCTAATGAAACAGTTTGACTACATTTAATTAGAGAGTAATAGAAATGACACAAATAGATTTTGTGGACATCCTTCAAGGAGCAACAGTGCTGTTTTCTATTGGTAGTGGTATATTTCAGTGGCCTTCATGTTTTATTTTAAAGACAGAGTTACATCTCAGTCTGCTTTTCAATTTTTTCTTTGCACCATCTAATCATTTGCATCGTGGTCCTACTATGATAGTTAGGAATCTGTATTTTTGAGCAGAGCAGATGAATGATAGTGCCTGGTTACTGTTTTGTTGTTCCATCTTCCTAGAGTCCAGCTTAGATTTGGTGACTGTGTTTTTAAATTAGGCCCATTGTTTTCTCTCGCCAAGCCACTTTGTTCCCAATACTGCTATTTCAGAAATCAGTTTTTTCATTAGAAGAAGCTGGAGGAGGGAAAGCCATACCATTTCCCATATAAGATGTTTAAAATTTTTAATTGTATTTTTTATAAAAAGGAGGAATACAAAAACATACTGTATTATGATGCTCTACCATTTCTCTTACATTGAAAGATTTTAATATCTTATTAGTTCACGTAATTAAATGGTTTATAATAATCACCAATATGTCAACACACATTGAGAAAAAACAAACTCTGTAGTTTTTTTTTTTAAACGGAAGACACTGAAATTTTAAGTAATTGCATAATTGATGTATCTAGCTCACACTGTACAATTCTGTAGATTTCTCCTCTGAGCTACCCATATGCTCACATGTTTTACAACTAAAATAAGAGGAAATCAATGATTTCTTTGCCTCTTCTTATCCTCCTCATATTCAAAACAGAGCTCTGGTTGCATCTTCTCTACAGAAGCTTCTATAACTGCATTATTTCAGCACTATCTCCCAGCTCTGAGTGTTAGCATTTTGTTGTATATTCTATTCATTATATATTACACAGTTACTGTTCTGTGACATCTCTTTTATTGCCCTTTATTATTTTTGTACAATTGCTATTTAAATTTCCACTTATGTATGTCTTTTCTCCTGAGCTGGATTACACTCCTTGGAGTTGGTACTTTGCAATATTAACCTTGTTTCTATTTTCACGGTACCTAACACAATGCTGTGTATTTTAAAAGTACTTAAATTCTTGTTAATGAATGAATGATGCTGTATTCTCAGTATGTCTGTGTGGGCAAAAACTTCTTTATCTATGTAAATTTATATTAACGATTTTAACTAACTTAACCAGATATTGTTCTTTGAAAACTAGTCAAGAAGAAATAGAGGGATGCTATTCTGCCTTTAAAAAAAAAAAAAGGAAATCCTGTCATTTGTGACAACATGAATGAACCCGGAGGGCATTGTGTTAAGTGAAATAAGCCAGGCACAGAAAGACTGTATGACCTCATGATCTGTAAGAGACCATATGAGCTATATGATCTCAGTGGAATCTTTTGAAAAGTCAAACTCATGGAAGCAGAGAGTAGACTGATGCCTGCCACTGGCTGGGGGTGGGGAATAGTGAGGCTTGAAGAAGATGTTGGTTAAAGGATAAAAATTTCACTTAGGAGAAATGAATTCAGGGGATATATTGATGATGGCTGATAGCAGCGTATTGTATACTTGAAAATCGCTAAAAGAATAGGCTTTGTAATGTTCTTACTTCAAAAAAATAAGTATGTGAGGTAATGCATATGTTAATTAGTTTGATTTACCTGTTGCACAATGTATACATATCTCAAAACATCATGTTGTGCACCATAAATACATGCATTTTTTTGTCAATTTAAAAGAAATAAATAAAATAAATAGGAAAAAGAGGTTACTGTTCAGTTTTTCTAGATTACTGAAATTTAACTTTAGGGTTTGGTGAAGGTTTTTGGGGTCTCATTTAAATAGATATTTTTAAAAACTTAATTTTCAATGTCATTCGCTTTCCAAATAACTAATATATTTAACACTTATCCTTTCAGATTGATCAGTTTAATGCTGAAGAGGAAGCATTTGGTTGGCTACCATCAGTATATCCTCAACGTAAAAAAATCCAGGATGGTTTGAACCCTTATCTTCGTCTCTATGAAATTGTTGTTGAATTTAGCACCAAATACAGAGCATGGACAGAAGGACCATATCACAAGGTGAATCCAGACCAAGTAGAAACAGATGTTGGAAATTACTGGAGAGGACTGTATAAGCTGGAGAAAACCTTTTATGATTCTCCACAAGCATTGGCAATGACAAAAAAAGTAAGATCAAAGGTGGAAGACTTCAAGCAGCACATTCCTCTCATTCAAGTGATCTGTAATCCTGGTTTGCGCCCAAGGCACTGGGAGGCCTTGTCTGCCATTGTTGGTTACCCCTTGGAGCCAGCAGATGACTCCACTGTCTTCTCTTTTTTAGACATGAATCTAGAACCATATTTAGACAGATTTGAAGGTATTAGTGAAGCAGCTAGCAAAGAATATTCTCTTGAAAAGGCCATGGAGAAGATGATTAATGAATGGGATGCAATGGAATTTGTCATCCTTCCTTATAGAGAAACTGGAACATGTATTTTGTCATCAGTTGATGAAATTCAGATGTTGTTGGATGATCATATTATTAAAACACAAACTATGCGAGGATCTCCTTTCATTAAGCCTTATGAAAAACAAATGAGGTAAAATGATATTTGTATGACATTGTTTATACTATTACCAAAATCATTTGTATTTAATGTAAAGTTATTTTGAGAATTGATTCTGCATTTCATCCTTAATATTTTTAAAGGTTTATTGTAAGGAGTGGTAACCTTCATTGCTTTTGGAAGAGTACTGATCCTTTGCTATCATCTTAATGGTTTGTCAATGTCTATATTCATAACAAAGGCAGTAAACAATCAATATCCAGATATTCATTTTTATTGCCTACAATCTGATCTTATTTGTTGAGTCTCAAAAATAATTTTGTACCTTTGAACATAGTTTATAGAATGTATAAACTATAAAACTGAAGATAATGTCATTTTTAAAATATACTAATTAGTTTATTGTAGATAATCCCTAAACATCTATTATAATTTCTACTGATAAGCATGGAGGAAAGCTAATAAGTGAAAAAGAATAAAACTACAACTTTAGTCTTGAGCTTTAAGCATTGTACACAACCAATTAAAGCCTTATCCTGTTTCTCAATATTTTCAGTTTTTATGATTTGTATTAAGCAGTTTTTATTTTACCTTAAAAAAAACAGAGAGCATCTAAATCATACTACTGTCTTCAGTGTGAATTTGCATGGCAAGGGAAAGCTGACTGCTTGTTAGTGTCTGCCTCCGGTTATTGATACATTATAAACTTGGGCACACTCTGACCTTAGCTCATTCTATGTGTTTGGTTGTTCTGCCTCCTGCCAGCTTGCTCCAGTGTGCACATCAAGAGAATAATTTCTGTACTACTATAAAAATAGTATACATGATATCATTAGCAAGTAGGAAATTTACTGCATCAGACAGAGATTAGATCGAGAAAGAGGGGAGAGCACCAGAAGAAAGCAGAGGCATTCATGTCTTCTTGCGCGAAGAGATTAAAGAAATTCATTGATAAACATTAAAAGAAAAAATTTTAGAGAGGCATTTGAAAATGCCTGATTTGGAGAACTCTTAACATTTCTTTGTTTTCAAGATTTAAAATTACACATCACTGCTTATAAATGACTAGTAATGCATTAAAATACACATAAACCTATCCCACTTCTAAGTTCTGTTGCTGTTAAGAAATCATTCTTCTTTATGGCTATGTTATCTCTGATAGCAGAGTGCTTACAGCTATCTGGGTTCAAATCTTGGCTCTGTTGTTTATTAGTTGGCTAAACTTGAACCTGGCACTTGCCTTTATGTGCCTTAGTCTCCTTATTGATAAATAGATATCCCAATGGACCCTACCTTGTAAGGATGTTGTGATGATAAATATACACAGAGTTGTTAGTTTATGGAGTAATTATAATATTTATTCTTGAGGAAATTAAGTCATTATTTATATTCTCCATATTTAGAAATGAACTGATAACTTTTTGTAAATTTAAATGTGCCTCCTTCTCATGAATGCCTCATGAATGCCATATTTTGCAGTATGTAGATTTTTCTTTAAATGCTAGTTATACCTTATAAATTGAAATACAGTTGACTCTTGAACAATGCAGAGGCTAGGGGCACTGAACCCCTGCACAGTCAAAAACATGCATATAACTTTTGACTCCCCTAAAACTTAAATACTAATAGCCTACTGTTAACCAGAAGCCTTATCAATAACATAAACAATCAATTAACACATATTCTGTATACGATATGTATTATATAGTGTATTCTTACAATAAAGCAAGTAGAGAAAAGAAAATATGAAGAAAATCATAAGAAAGAGAAAGTATATTTACTATTTATTAAGTGGAAGTGAATCATCATAAAAGTCTTTATCCTGTTGTCTTCATGTTGAGTAGGCTGAGGAGGAGGAAGAGGAGGAGGGATTGTTCTTGCTGTCTCAGGTGTGGCAGAAGCAGAAGAGGTAAAGGACGTGGAAGGGGAGGCAGGAGAGGCAGGCACACTTCACATACCTTTTTTGAAAAAAATCCATGTATAAGTGGATTCAAACCTGTGTTGTTCAAGGGTCAACTGTATTTTATTCTGGAAATAAAGCCTTTATGGGACCAAATTAAGAAAAAAAAAAAAAAAGAATGCTAAAGGAGAGGAGTCTTGGATGTAACTACCTTTCCTCAGAAGCTCAGAGTAAACTTTATTGGGAATATCTTTACCGTCTCCAGAATTTCATTTCTCAATTCGTACCCTCTAGCCATGGAACTGGATCACAGGAAGGTTTATCATTATGACATATACAGAAACCAGCCCATTTGTAGATAGGTATATCTTAACATATGTATCTGTATTAGCATAAATACTATGTTATTATTTTAAAACAGATTTTGTAGAACACATCTAGTGATTTATGTTTGAATGAAATTAGATAAATGAAGTATGGAAATTAGAATAACAACATTATATATTGACAGTCTAATTGTGGTTTTGAGTTTTATCATCCGAAGCATTGCTTTTTTGCTGTCAGTAAGAACCTCTGTGTTTTGCTCCTCAGAGAATGGGAGGGCAAGCTCCTACTGCTTCAGGAGATCCTGGATGAATGGCTCAAGGTCCAAGCCACGTGGCTGTATCTGGAGCCCATTTTCAGCTCTCCGGACATTATGTCTCAAATGCCTGAGGAAGGCAGACGATTTACAACTGTGGATAAAACATGGAGAGATATAATGAAAAATGTCACTCAAGTAGGTAAAAATCTCCAAAATTGTGACTATTTCGTTGAAGTGACATGATTTTTATTTTTAAAAATCCATATAAGCCACTATTGTTTCCAATAAACCATTATCTATCTTTTTCCCACATACATTCTCTTTTCAGCTATTTTTTAGAATGCCAGGAGCAAGAACTATCAGAAGCAAAAATAGATATTTTTCCCTGATTACTTCTTGAGGTCCAAATTGCATTGTTTAATGACCTTCAGTCTATTAATGGTTCTTATCTGATGCTCTGGTAGGAAGATGCTGGATGGGGTGCTGGCTGTTTCCATCGATTCTATGGCCCTCTTGTCTTGGGCTGCAAGGTCACTGAAATTCACTGCAGTGGAAACATGTCAGCATGCCAACCACTCAGTCAAGTTTCTCTAGTAGAGACCTAAAATAAAGATGAGTTGCAAAGATATATAGATCTAAAGAGTCCAATAAATATAAACAAAATTCAATGAAGAAATAAAAAAGTACACAAACACTGTGGAGAACTTACAATTTAAGTTAAAGAGGGAATTTAATAAAAACCAATAAAACTTAAACAAGGATGGTTTTTGTTCAATTCAGAAGACATTTACTATCTATGAAACATAGTTTATGTGTTATTGAAGTTAAGATTAAAATAGAAAAAGTATGTTATTAAATTATATCATTAAATGAATGTAAACTTATGCATTGGTATTTTGATCAAATACAATACTGTAAGCTAGAATGAATATTATCTTAAAATTTTCCTACCCTGAACTAGAAATATGCATATCTTTATTATTTAAGCTTTGAGAGTTCTTGCTATAGTCCTAAATACTGATAATACTGTATTGACATCAACTGTAGCAGCAGTCCCCAACCTTTTTGGCACTAGGGACCAGTTTCATGGAAGACAATTTTTCTACGGAGTGGGGGTGGGAGATGGTTTGAGGATGATTCAAGCATATTACATTTATTGTGCAGTCAAACCTCTCTGCTAATGAGAATCTGTATTTGCAGTCTCTCCCCAGCACTCGCATCACCCCTCAGCTCCACCTCAGACCATCAGGCATTAGATTCTCATAAGGAGCACGCAACCTAGATCCCTCGCATGCGCAGTTTACAATAGGGTTCATGCTCCTGTGAGAATCTAATGCCACCGCTGATCCGACAGGAGGTGGAGCTCCGGCACTGATGTGAGCAATGGAGGGTGGCTGTAAATACAGATGAAGCTTCACTTGCTTGCCTGCTGCCTACCTCCTGCTGTGCAGCCCAGTTCCTAAAAGGCCACGGACTGGTCCATGGCCCAGGGGTTGGGGACTGCAGAACTGTATGATTTGATAGGAAAATATTCAGAAAGATAGACAAGGGTTTATTTATTTAATAAGTTTACCTCATTTTATGTAATACTTGAAACAAATTTCTGTATAAAACAAACTTTTGTAAAATTAATCACACTGGAACTAATTCCATATTTAAAGAACCTGTTAGTAAGTCACTTTGTAACATAATCATCACTAATTAATTTTATAAATTTAGTTTTACATATACAATTTCCTTACAACAGTGCAAAATCCTTAAAACATGTATACATTTTCATCTGGAAAGGGATGAAGCAGAATTTTTTTGTTGTCCAAAAAAGCAAAAAGTAGATGCTTGTATTCTTTTAGTTAGTGTAATTTGAAGAACAAAAAAATTCTTTTTAAAATATTTGATCAAAATTGCTCTTCGAAATCCCATATTGCTAAGGAATTTTGTAGCTATTTCCGTGCCTGAAAAGGGGCAGCTATGCTGGGCCTAGTAAATAATGGAGGCAGATTTTTGATCCTATAAAACCGCTGAATTAAAAACAGAGAAAAAATCGCATTACTTGCCCTTATTCCTAAATAAGCAGGTGTGGTTTTTTTTGGGGGGGGGGCAGATGATACTTCATTTACTTGGCTGTAGAATTATCTTTCTCACCTGCTTTGCATTTTCTCTTTCTCAGTATGTTAGTATCAGGGCAGCTTTTGTTCATATTCACTAAAGCTTTGAAAATAAACATAAAATCCATACTCTCTCAGGAAGTCTTATGTGGTGATCCATATAGTAGAGGCCACTGGATTAATTGCTTAGTACAAAAAGTCATTACTTTCATTCTTAGGGGTTCCTAATAAAGGTTCTTTTAGAGGTAAATTTTGCCAAGAGAAAAACCTCAGAGGTTAAAAATAGGATGTAAATGCTGTTGTTGATATAATTGGCTTCACTGAGATGTCTTGGTTCCTTGAGGTATAAACACGAAATAATTTTATGTTTTGGTACCAGCTACCAACAATGCTGGGCAAAGCCCCTTTCTTGTTGGGAGAGGCTCCCTTATTGACCTTTCAGTCTAATTCCAGAATTTTCCAGTCACTTTAGTTATTCAGATAGTTTTGTCTATGAAGACATAGCTGTACCTGTTTTAAAATTTCAATCTCATGTTCCACTCTGAGCTCTTCTCCTCCCCACAGTGCAAGTACACCTGAGGTTCAGGGTGGGGAGACATGAGGACTGTGCTCCCACACTATTTCTCTTCTGCCTGCACTTAACACCTGGTGTTGGGGCAAGGACAGGTGAAGAGGAGGGAGGGAGGGATGTACTGGGGAGAGAGACAGGCAGACGGAGAGGGGAAGTGAGAGAGAAAGAGAGTAAAAGAGGACTTGCGGATGTAAGTGATCCTGCAAAATGGGCTGTTCTCTTTGTTGGTGGTCATAAGATGGGCAACCTCCTGGCAGTGATGTCCAGGCAATGTGCCTTTACTGTTGCTCATCACAACTGGTCTAGCTTTTTGACCAGTGTGGATAGGTCAGGTGCACAGATTGACTCAGCGTGAGTAGGTGAAGACCCCAGCCCAGCTCTGGCTGCTGAGAGGCATCATCCTGAACATTTCCCCTAGGTTTTTTCATCTTCTGGGAGATTTGGCTACATCTTCAAACTGACCTTCCAATGGTGGCTTTTGCCACGTGCTTCTGATGTGTATGTCTCTTTGCCCCATACCGTAGCAGTATTTCACAAATCTGCAGCCTTTAATTTCATCTGCCTGCTATCGCTCAAAATTGGGGTCTGCAGAAAGGTGGGATCCATCTTCTGTACATCTTAGTAACCTTGAGCACATAGTCCTTGCCCCTCCTTCTCCTGGTTCTCTTGCTGCTCTGGTAGCGCTGGGGCAGGTCAGCACACCTGGTGACTGAGTAGACTTCCAGCTGGGGAAAATGGTGTCAGCCTCCTCTCTTTTCAGGCATGTGAAAATTTTACTAGGGACTCTCTTGAACCCCCTTCCTAAAATTCAGGGGATGAGAACTGGTTAATTGCCCACCAGATAGAGATGAAAGAAGTGGATAATCCCTCTTCATGTATACTGCATTTCATCCCCAAACTTGGCTTTTGACTTACCTAAATCTTCTTTTGTATTCCACACAAGGCAAAAGAAGCCACTCTTTAATTTCTCCTCAAACACTGTCCTCTTCTAGTCTAACCCCATCAGTTTTGCTCAGGCCAGAAACTTAGGAATCATTCTTTCTTTTTCTTTTTTCCTTTACTACAGTAAATATGATCATTTGGCACCAAGCATCTCATCTCTTTCTAGTGAACTAAAAAGCCAAAACAGGATCATCTCCCAGACTCTCTAGCATCTAGATTTCTGGAAATGAATTAGATCTTGTCAATTAGATGCACTCATTTGGGATCTGGAAGGCATAAGCAAAACAGTAGCCATCTTGCTGCCATTTTATCTATTTTTGCTATCGAGCAAGATAATAAACACGTGATTTTTTTTTTTCTAATGAAACTTCAATGTCTGGTTACCAGTTTAATGGGTATTGGGAGACAGTGATGATGATGGCTTCCTGATCCCACCCTCATGGCCACCATGGTGGGTTCTTGAACTCAGTGGTTCCAGTGGTGGTATCCTTTTGTCCTGATTAGGGCAGAAGTAATAACCCCTGGAAAGTCAGTTCCAGTGTTTTAGGAGTCTCTCCTGGAAGCCCATCCTGGAGTGTGTTCCCCTAGGCCTTGCAGTGATTTTGTAATCACTTCATTTCCTGTGTTAAATCTCTTTTTGCTTAATATACCTGGAGGGATTATGCTCTGACTTGAATAAATATACTAGAACCTTAAGGATGGGATGGATCTAGGATTGTACATGACGCACTTGAGTTTTAGGGTATTGAAGATCTAGTTATCATTTGAAAATAGAACTCTGATAGTGCCTGGCATGCAGTGCAAAAATCACTTACTTAAATTATGCTCTCAGTCTTCTAGAATGAACAGTATTATTTTATAGCAAGTGTTCGGTGGACAAAGTAGCTGCTAGAATAGGTCAATATAGTAAGAATTTGAAATACAAGGCATGTGAGATGGTCTGGATTCTTTCAAAAGAACTAGAGAAATTTAAAAAATGGCATAATCCAGAGTTTTAAATTCTCTGCTCCGGATGTGGTCAGAGGACTAAGGAGCTTCTGTGATTGCCCTCAAAAAGCCTTTTATTTTTCATAGATACAAGTTTGACATAGTCAAAAATGAGTTACAGAATCGGATTCAATGAGTTACCAAATTTCAATGTAATATAATTCACAGCCTTTCCAGATCTGTTATGTGAAAGGTAGTTCACTCATTGGGCAAGAGTGGCATGGTGAGAACTGGAAACGGGGATATTTGGATAAATTTGATTGACTCTGGGTACCCTGACCCTCAAATTCTGGTGAGCCTCCCTTGCCAGAAGCCTTGACAGAGTATGCAGAAATATGAGTGGCAATGTATTATATGGTGCTTGTCTAGGGAAGAAAGAACCTAAATTAATTGTGGTCAAATGTGTTGATGTTAGCACACTTACCAGAGATCTTATTTCAATGTGCTAGTTAAGAAGTTTTGAGTGGTTCCATTTACTTGCTTTCTTGACCAAAACCTGGCTTCCATGATGGCCTATCTCAATAAGATTGAAATGGTAGAAAATGCAATTTTTAAGAAACTAGAGATTGGTTTGCAGATGTTTGTGCAGA